CCAAGAATATCTTCCTATAGTTACTGATAACCAACTGCCTAGTTTGCGGAGAGCTGACTCATGGAGCAAATTTCTACAGCTAAAGAAAGACAGTAGCTCCTATCCAATTACTCAAGGGATTACCTGAATTATTAAATACCTCTGCTTTTGTGAAGACACTGTCAGTTTCAAGTTTGGGACAGAACAAAGACTAAAACTAGGGCAGAATGCTTTTGGCTGAGTAGGGAAGGAAGCATGTGGGAATGACCAATCTTTGGCCAACTGCCTACAGCTCTGCTCAAGAATAGCCTCTTCCCATAAGGTGAGGCATTTAGAATTTTGACAAATAGCACCCAACGTTGGTCTCTCGCTTAAATTTGTAACTCTGCCCCCCACCCCGCCATCACATATCTCAAACTATTCCTTCTCTATAGCATTAAAAAACAAAACAAACAAACAAAAAAACCTTGGAGCAATACTAAAGATCTTCAGCGGGCTCTTAGGAACAAACAACATATGTTCTTAAACATCTGTGCTTTTCCCAAGCTATTTTTTTCCATTATTGTCAAGAGAAAAAAAGTTTGGTGGAATGTTTCTCCACAGAGGCACAAGTCTGTAATACTCCCTGTTGACTACATATAAAAGACACAAAATATTAGTTTGTTAAAAGCAGCTTCAACCATTGCTGTACAAAGCAGTTCTCCGATGGAACAGATTTATGAAGTAACAGCTGAAAGGTATGCAGATCACAAGATACATGACAAATGTACTTTATTACACGGATCAGAAATACCACATGTACTAGCAGTTACTGTACAATGATACACAACACCCAACTAAGACTATTTAAAGGCTTTGCCGATATTGAAAACTATAAAGACACAACGTGAGAGTGAGAAAGTGTTTCATAAGATAGCATAATGCCAAGACAAGTCATCGCTTTAGGAAATTAAATACATTCTGTAGGTTATAAACAATGTATTATAAAACTATGCCATTCTTGAGATCGAAATGTGAAGAACTTTACCCCATTCATTGTTTAAAGCAGATGTTTATAAAAGTTTTTCCATAAAGTGTAACTTAGAGGAACAAATACCAGACTTAACATTAACAAATTTAAGATTTCAGATTTTGTTATTCCCACCAAAAAGAGAGTTAAGTCTGTAATCGTGGAGCACCAATAGACTACAGAGTGGAATAAGCGCAACACATCTCAGACATGACAACTTCCTGCAAGGCGTTTCTTAGCTAAAAGGACTTCCACAGCTTTCCACCCGATTTCCAAGTACCACGTTTGAATCCATTCTGCTACGTTCCAACCAAGTGGCTGTCCCCCATTAGTTTGACAGGCTAGTGCTCCGAAGTTTGCCTGTTCCATTTTCAATTTCGGTTAGAAGGTTCTTCCTTAGATTGAATCAAAGTCTGTCTCTCTGAAGCCTCCCATCAGGGGCATTCATTCCACAGTCTAGGGCAGCCTTGCTCCCATCTTAATAGGTGCATAACTTTGGGCAGGTATACTTACCTCTTCAAAGCTGTTTCCTCTTCTGAAAATTGGGATAAGAGTATTGATCCCACAGCATCGTTTTAAGGATTAAATTAAATAATATAGGTAAAGCGTTTAACACATTCCCTAAATGTTGGTTGTTGTTATCATTACTATTATTCTGCCAAATGAGTCTAATTTGACATCACGTTATTTTTCTCCTGCTCTAAAATAGGTGATGACCATTGGCATTCAACTACGTGAAATTTAGGGTTTTTTGTAAGTAGACACAAATCTGGCCCTGGCTCTCCTGCTGCCTCACGGGGCCCCAGGAACAGCAGTGGCCTTTGACCTGGCATGAGTCCTTAACAGCTCTCCACGCACACCCCTCCCCACATTCCCTTGTAAGATTAGTATGTGTCTGCTGCAGTGGCATTTCAGGGAAAAAGGATCCTATCTTGTGGCTAGCACAAATTTCAATCACTCTGCCAGGTGGCATCAGAAGTTAGCTAGCAAGCTGCATCAACAGCCCAACATCTGCTTCTCGATTGCAGTATTTATAAATTTGCGAATTCCTTGACATCTCTTTGGATTCCTCCCACTTATGTTGTGGCCACCGCTTCCCTGATCTAAACTATACACCCCAAACCCTCACAGTCACAAACAATCCATCTCAGGTATTCAAACCAAGGCATTTATAGCCAGTTATTTTGAATTCTCCAACTCCCAAAAATCGTATCCCAGATATAGAAATAGAAATTTTGAAAATACCCACATTTCCTAATGAGCAAATATGTTCCGCTGCATTTTTATTTAGGCAGCATGTGAACTGGGGAGGAACAATCATACCTACATCAGTGTGACACTAGGGGGAAAAAAAAAAAAAAAGAGGTGCTCAAAGCCACTACTTGACTCTACCTAGAGCTTCGACTAAAGCTCACATAACTCTGACTGGGGGCTCTGGCACCCTGACTCGGGCCACACCTTTAGAATTCGGTCAGCCCATTCTACAGGAGTACCCAGGGAGCCCTAGGGTGGGTTAGGCTGAAATTTGAGAAAAGGTCTATAAATCCTGAGCCTGCAAAATGGATTGAACCCAACACAGAATGTATTGCTGGGAGGATTAAGTGAGTTAACACTTTGACTGGGGAGTTTAGGATTAAATAATACAGACCAAGGCCTATTTAAGAGATAACAAATAAGTGAAAACCATTTTGAGTCCCCTAATTTTACATTTAATTTCTAAAAAAACAAAAATGAAATGTTGTATTCAATTCCTACTGTGAGTTAGCCCACTCTTAATTCCAAAAATTATTTGGGGCTTAGCTTGAGCTCCCTCTGGTGGTTTTACAGCAATTCTCTGGAACAGATGAGCCAAGTAACTGACAAATTTTAAAAAGATAAGCTAATCATGTAAAAGATGAAAGGACTACGGTATACTTAATGTATGACTTTTAAGAATAAAGCAACAAAGAAGTGATTGTACCCCTTCACTCATTTTGGAATGTCAGTCCCAATTTCCTGCCAAGCTTTGGAGGTGGGAAGAATCTTGCTGGCCGTACAGTTCAGGGTGCTTTAGAGGCCCCAGTCACACCCTCGTGCAAGACAACTTCTCTTTCAGAGCCACCTTTTGAGAGGCCATAGGACATCTGAGCATGTTTCCCAAATAACTTTTTTAGCAGTGGTTTTGTTATTTTAGGTGAAATCCTGAATAGACACATTTCGTCACTAGACAAACTTCAGTGAACGTCCTCACATCAAGAGGCCCTGGATGAGAGCTCAAAGCTACCACTGGAGTCAAATTAGAAGTTATCAGCCACAGAACACATGAACATATCCCTGGCACTGGCCTCTGATCTCAACTTAAAGCAAATGCAGCTACAAAATACCAGACAACACTGCTAAATTTTAAGTAAACATCAAGTGTGTAACATCATTAATGCAGCCAATTCCTATGATGGCGTAACAAGTAAATAACTTAGCTAGTATATTTAGGCTGATATTGCCAGTGGCTATAATGTTAGCAACGTTTTTATTTCATGATACACATGTATTTACTTTTTCCTCACAAAATATTTTTTGTTCATAACTATACCAAAAGGCAAAAAAGGCCATGGATAACATTTATTTTTTCCAACCATTTTCTATTAGCTTCTTTTGAGAAAATCTATTTTAAGTATTTAAAAATTATCCACCAACCTTTTGGTGAACTCATCACTGAGTAAATCGAGAAAAGTCTATTATATAAAATAATTTTAAGGTTTTACTGGCATTAAATTTTATAGATTCAAATCTCCTCGAAGACTTAGGTCACGTCCTCCTATTTCTCTCTATATGGTGTCACAGCCTAGCGCATGCCTGGCATAAATCTGTGTCTTGATGACCAAGTGACTTTAATAGATTTCACTTTTTTTTAAATTTTATTATGTTATGTTAATCACCATACATCATTAGTTTTTGATGTAGCGTTCCATGATTCATTGTTTGCGTATAACACCCAGTGCTCCATGCAGTACGTGCCCTCTTTAATACCCATCACCAGGCTAACCCATCCCCCTACCCCCCTCCCCTCTAGAACCCTCAGTTTGTTTCTCAGAGTCCATTGTCTCTCATGGTTCATCTCCCCCTCCGATATCCACCCCTTCATTTTTCCCTTCCTGCTATCTTCTTCTTTTTTTTAACATATAATGTATTATTTGTTTCAGAGGTACAGGTCTGTGATTCAACAGTCTTACACAACTCACAGCGTTCACCATAGCGCATGCCCTCCCCAGTGTCTATCACCCAGCCACCCCATCCCTCCCACCCCCAACCACTTCACTTTTAACTTGGTTTTCCTCTGAAGCTAACAGCCTCTTTTGAGTAGATGCTCACAAGGTCAAAACCTCCTCAGTCTCCTTCTTTGTGTCCCGAGCACCTGGAAAAGATCCTAGCACTTAGTAGGCACTCAATAAATGTTATTCCAGTGAACATATAAGGATGGTTAAAAGGACTACCGTGAAATTTCAGAGGGAATACAAAGTTTAAATTCCTTAACTAAAAATAAATTTAAACAAGAGTGAAATTAGTAAACTGTAGCAAGACAGACTTAATGAAAATCATCTCATTTACCAGCATTTCCGACAGTATATTCTACTCTTCAGAACACTAGTTTCAAAGAGTTGAAGTTGAATAGTTTTCTTTACTGTTAGATCTCTAGAATACTATACTAATACTTTCTGTGAATCTTTCAAGTATGTAGCATTTCCCAAACTGATGTGACTATGAAATATATTTTTCACCATGCATTCAGAAAAACTGCTTCTGAGAAACATACTCTGCGGAATGCTGTGTTATATTAGGCTGCATAATATAAAAACCGAAGACCATTAAACTAGTTCCCAGGATGATCTATCTACTAAACAGATGGTGCATACTAATTTGTAGATGTTAATACTCTACCAAAAAAACTTAAGTTTTTTTTTAACAATTTAATTGAAGGTGGTCTTCTCTACTACTAGAAAACCTTAAGGATGTATTAGAGAAAAGCTCTTCAAGATCTTGACAAAATATCTTTTATTCTAAATTAAAATCAAAACTCCAAACAAGTAGTGCTTATAAGATCCACTGACATTCTATTTTAAATTATATAAAAGTTTTCTTTAAACCTGAATCACCTCAAATTTGTCAGTAGATCTTTTTTTTTTTTTTTTATCTTTACTAAGACCCAACAGTTACAACCACAGTAACACTTGATAGAATTGCAATGTCTGAGAATCCCTGCACACTGGGAAGCATCCAATTAAAGTATCGGTGTAGCTTTCATTCATCAAAGATTTTATTCAAGCTCCCAAAACAAAGTTGAGGAGTTAAGTTGGGTTTGAACTGAAGAACAAGGCCAAGTGAAACCTGGAAACCAAGTTTTCGTTTGGTGGAAGTTGAAATCCATGTACACATTCTAACCAAAGGCCTGTCCCATGTAGGAGTTTTCAAGTTTTTAAGAGTCTACCAGGCTAAACCCTTTGCTGCCTTTACTTTGCTTTTCCCCTTCCCTTTTTCTCGCTTTGCCTTCAGCCTTTTCCTCTGTCTCTGGTTCATCCATACGGGGTACTGTCCATGCTGGTCTAGAAGACTCTTCTTGTTTCTCTTAATTTCAGTCTCCATTTTCATGTCATCTGAATAAAAGACAGAAAACTATTCATGCACAGAATGAAGAAACAATCTTGTGAAAAAGCATGTGAATGCAATAAGAACATGAGAACTGAAAGTGGTCTGAAACTGCAAAAGAAAAAAGTCCCTTTTTCTGTGGAATGCTCTTTGACTAACACTGAACACTCCTCACAGCACATTCAATGGACTCAGACATGCTCCCATGTATTCCTACAACCATGAAAGACATAAAAAGTATTTATAAGGAACTAGAGATGTCATTTAGTGACTAAGAAACTTTCTGAAGAATGTTGTCATGAGTGTCCATTTTTGGAATAGTAAAAGTTAAACAGGAAATATACATTTAGGATGTATGGGTTTGAGTCACTGCATGAAGGGTAAGTGTATGGCTGTGAGCATTTGTGAGTCAGAAGAACATTTCTCAGATTAAGTGTTTCTTGAGCTAAATAAGACAGCTGAGCCTACTAAGAGCAACGACGCTTTTAATGGAAAGGCCTTAGAAGCAAATGAACTATTAGGAATGGCTGGCCACTTCCAAAGAAGTGTACTTGGAAGAAGTGGAGCAGTAAGCAACAAGCTTGTGATGACAGAGATGGGCAGATGACGAAGAAAAACCTGGATGGGGGGGCTTGGCTGGCTCAGTCTGAGGAGCATGCGACTCATCAGGATCCTGAGTTCAAGCCCCATGTTGAGTGTACAGATTACTTAAATAAAAACTTTAAGAAAAAAAAAAAAGAAAACCTGGATATAGGGGCGCCTGGCTGGCTCAGTCGGTAGAGCATGTGATTCTTCATCTTGGGGTCGTGAGTCTGAGCCCCACATTGGGGGTAGAGTTTACTTAAAAATGAAACAAAACGAAATGAAAGAAAAGAAAAGAAGGGAAGGAAGGAAAGGAAAGAGAGGAAAGAAAGAAAAGAAAGGAAGGATACACAGTGGGCTGCCACTCTTTCTTACCCAGGTGACACCCAGAGATCCAGCTCCACTCAACAGAAGACCTGGCAGGAAGTTCAGTGTAGCCATGCTGCGGTACATCTATCACCAACCTTATCTGCTGTGAATGTTTCCCGTAATGTCCCTCCCTGGGAACTTACCAGGGTATACGGGGTCTTCCATGATCTCTACTGCCTGACATTATATTAATTCATTTATCTGGTTTACTTTTAGTCTCCTCTGATATGTAAATCCCATCAGGATGGAGGCCATTTCTCCTATATTTATCATGTTTCCTCAGTGCCTAGAATAGTGCCTGCTATATATCAGCCATTCAATAACTAGTTGTTGAATGATTGTTAGGTACTGTTCTAGGTTCTGGGGATACAATGGTCCAAATGTGCTCCTTGCTGTCATGGAGCTTACGACGTTCTATTGAAGGGAGCATAACAAAGCAAACTGTAGCCTGTGTTAAGTGGATTTTTAAAAAAAAGCACCAGAACCAGATTAAGTAGGACCTGGTAGGCTCTGATGAGCACATGGAAAGACAATGAGATGTTTTAAGCAAGGGAATGCCATCACTTGCCTTACGTTCCAAAAATATTATACTGGTTGATATGTCAAAAATGAATCGAAAGGGAGCGAGAGCTGAAGAGAGAAGTAAAAAAGCTATTATCTTCGTTCAGGCAAGGGATAATGGTCATCTTAAAGTGCAAACATGAAAGGAGGAGGAAAATGGACAGATTCCTGCTGTATTTTGGAGGTATTAAAGATGTGCTAATGGTTTAGAGGTGGGAGATAAAGGGAAAAGAGATCAAGGTAACTACTAGGTTTGTGGCTTACGAAACTCATTGAGAAAATGAAATAAGGGGAAACGCGAACCTGAGGGCAGAGATGAGCAACCATATTGAAAACAGGTGGATTACTAAATGGAGAGACTCCCTCACCCTTAGTTCTATCCCTACTGAGTTCCTGAAAAACTCCAAGAAGGAGGGTAGCCAGACATGGACATGGGCAGGAAATGAGAGAATTCCTCTCTGAGGATGATGACAGAAGAGAAGAGATCTAGTTTCTGATATAGATCCTCCACAACAAAACCACCTAGGTTCAGTCCAATCATTCTGCAAGTCTAACAGCTGATAAGCCCTCCCCCACACCTTGTCCCCTCCGTGGAAGGCTTCCATTCAACATCTCAGTGCTTTACTTTTAAATATAAACAACCACGGATCACCAGATACTGAAGAAAGCCTCCAACATGAAAGAGAAAGACAAAAATAATGGAATGGAAGGTGGGCACTCGGGGAAGAACTCAACAGAATAGACAATGCATAGAGTAGATCGAAATTTCTCAAACTATAATTAATACCCTTAATGAGATCAGAGAAGATATAATATCCATTAAGAACCTCAGGCTATAACAAAGAAAGAAGAAAAAAAAGAACTTTCAGAAATTAAAAATACCATAGCAAAACTAAACAAATCAATATAACAATAGGTAATAAAGCTATAAAAATCAGAAAGTGTAACAAGAGAAAACAGAAAGCAGGAGAGAAAACTAGAGAATAAATCTAAGACTCAAAAGTGAATAGGCATCTAGCATCCAGAATATATAAGGAACTCCCACTAGAACTCAACAAAAAGACAAACAATCCAATTTAAAAACGGGCAAAGGACTTGAAAAGATCTTTCCGCAAAGATGATATACAAATGGCCAACAAGCATACGAAAACATGTTCAACAGCATTAGTCATTGAGGAAATGCAAATCAAGACCACAAGTACTACTTCACACCCTGTAGGATGAGGCAATTACCCAAAAAAAGAAAGGAGAAACAAACAAACAAGTATGGCGAGGATGTGAAGAACCCTCATTCACTGCTGGTGGGAATGTAAAATGGCATGCCTGATATAAAAACCAGTGAATAGAATTATCAAATGACCTAGCCAATTCCATTCATAAGGACAAACCCAAAAGAACTGAAAACATGTATTCAAACAAGAGTAAGTACACAAATGTCCACAGCAGCACTACTGACAACAGCCAGAAGGTGGAAGCAACCCAAATAGCCATCCACCAAAGGATGGATAAACAAAATGTGGTATGTACATCAACTGGAGTATTACTCAGCCCTAAGAAGGAAGTACTGATACATGCTCCAACATGGATGGACCTCAAAAACATTACGGTAGATGAAAGAAGTCAGACACAAAAGGCCACATGTTATGATTTCATTTATATGAAATATCCAGAATAGGTAAATCCATAGATAAAGAAAACACATTAGTGGTTGGTTGCCAGAGACTGTGGGAAGGAAGGAAGAGAGAGACTGTTTTATGTGTATAGTTTCCTTTTAAGGTGATGAAAATGTTTTGGAAACAGGTGATAGTCAGACAACATCATCAATGTACTAAATACTACTAACTGTATACATTAAAATGATTAATTTTATGTTATGACTTTTACCTCAATGACCAAAAAAAAGAGCAAATGGGCAGAGGCAGTGTACATATGAGGAAACAGAGACACAAGTGTTAAGAAGTTTCAAGGAGAGGGGCGCCTGGGTGGCTCAGTCAGTTAAGTGACTGCCTTCGGCTCAGGTCATGATCCTGGAGTCCCTGGATCGAGTCCCGCATCGGGCTCCCTG